CTCTCTATTTCTTTAGACAACTCAAGTACTCTCATTAAGATAGACATACTGAAATTTTTTTTTTAATCAGCTGCCACATTCTCTATGCTAAAGCCAAATCATCCACCATCACACCTACTGGATGCATAGCGAATATAGAAGTCTATGAAAATCACCTTAATACTTGCTCTGAAAAGAGAAATCCCTAAATTTATGTCAATTCTCATTTATTAGCCTGCTTATTTAAAAAAATTAATTCTAGAATAACTGGCTCATCATCAGCTATTAATTATTGAATTTGCCCTGACAGGCTAGAATTGACATTGGTGTCATTAAAAAAAAAAAAAAAAGACAAAGTCCTTCCTTTCTGTGTGCTTTAATTTGACAAGAGAGAAACTAAAGTTCCTATTAGATCCTTCTGTTTCCTGCTTAAAATGTATGACAGTTCCCCACGACCATCAGCTATTTCTTGGCAGGGCATTTGAGGTAGGTCTCACACGGCATGAACTCTGGATGTAGCTGCCAACTCAGCTTGTCATTCAATAATGTTAGGTTAATTAAAATGTACGTGCAGACAGAATTTGGGTTTAAAAACTATACTACTTAATACTATTCCTTTTCAAGGGGCTAGTTTTAAAAAGTTATTTATCCAACTCACTTAATTCTCCTTAATTACATTATTCCAGTAGGATAGCCATGCTGAGCTTTTATAAGGTATTATAAAATGTTTCCTGTTTTATTTCCTCCCCTTCAGTGTTTTCCTTTCAGAAAACGGCTTTGTTTAAAGAAGTTTCCTTATAGTACATGTTAATTAGTCCTTTCCAAATGATAAACACATCTTTACAGAAGCTGACAACCATTATCTCTTCAACCACACTTTAAAAAAATATTTCTGCAGTTGATGATAAGTTACAAATTCTAGTATGAAACAACTCTCAAGGTACAGACAAACATGGAACCTCCTTCAGAAAAAAAAAATGATTAGAAAAGGTCCTGATCTGTTCTATATTTGTGAACTTTAAATAAAAAAGAGGGCTGGGCACGGTGGTTCACACCTATAATTGCAGCACTTCGGGAGGCCGAGGTGGGCGGATCACCTGAGGTCAGGAGTTCAAGACCAGTCTGACCAACATGGAGAAATCCCCACCTCTACTAAAAATACAAAATTAGCTGGGTGTGGTGGCACATGCCTGTAATCCCAGCTACTTGGGAGGCTGAGGCAGGAGAATCGTTTGAACACAGGAGGCAGAGTTTGCAGGGAAGGAAGGAAGGAAGGAAGGGAGGGAGGGAGGGAGGGAGGGAGGAAATCCAGACAGTACTATACCCAGGAGACAGATACGAACTATATGAAGAGCAGACTGAAGGCCAAAGGCATGGAACTCCTAACTTGACTAAGAGAAACACCATTGAGCAAGTGAGCAGAGCTGCTGCAGCTTATCATTCCCCTCTTTGGGATTCTGATACAGTTTTAACCAACTTCCCCAAATTATGGCCACACTCCAGCCTAGTTCCTCCTTTTAAACTGGAAAGGTTGAGGATTACATTTTAGAGCTTAAAAAGGTACTTATTTGAACTAGTGGTTTCAGGCACTGGAGGTTTTATGAGGTTATCTGAAAATTATGAGAATATGAGGCTATGGAAGAAATAATAACTGTGACTTTCTGATTAAGTTTTTTCAATACATTATTTTAAAATTAGCCAGGCATGGTGGCATACACCTCTAACCCCAAATACAAGGGAGGCTGGGGCAGGAGAATTGCTTGAACCCAGGAGACGGAGGTTGCAGAGCCGAGATTGCGCCTCTGCACTTCAGCCCAGGCGACAGAAGGAGACTCTATCTCAAAACAAAAAACAACAGAAACAAAAAATACGTTATTTTAAAACTCAAGTAACTTAGCACTCAAAACTATTTATACTTTTTTTAATAGGGTGGTCCCAACAGATATTTAATGATTGTGCATATGTGTGCCTGCCCACTGTTGCACTTGAACAGAAATATGTGATGTCATTGACATCCTAGATTTACTTTCTTTTCTGCAATAGATCTTGACATTATAAACAGTAAGCAGGTTTCAAAAGAGAAATTGAAATACCCATTTCTCAGGGTTCTGTAGTCTTCCAAATCCATAGAAAATTACCAAATACATACGGAAGATCTGGGAGGATGCACATGGCAGGGAAAGAACTGTAATGGGAATAAAGATCAAAGAGCTATGTTTAGCTTTGTCCAAATTACCCCCAAAAATTCAGTATATAAATTTTTTTTACAACAAGCATATATTCAAATATGATTTGGTAGTTTAAAATTCAGTTAAAATTTTAAACTTTGTATCGCTTACAAACTACTTTACTCTCACTTCACACTCTTTCCTCTCAACATCTCCCTTTTATTTACTTCCCTACCCCCAGCATCCTAAATGATACTGCACATTTCTTGTTTTTAACAAAATTAATCTTACTTGTGTCCACATCCTTTTTCTAACTGAGAAGTCGGTGAATGGATAAACGCACATTTCCAGGAACCAGTGCCTGTCTCACCTTGTTGATAATTAATGACTGCCAAATTCTAATCTTTGGTGTTCAGGGACCTTACAACCTTTTTTTCCTTTTTTTTTTTTTTTTTAACTATAGAATATACTATTTAAGAAAAACAATATGATGGCAACCAAACATTTATCATCTAATAAATCACAGAAGTTAAGCATGAAAAATGAAGTAAACTTTATGATACTCAACAATTAATTCTAGGGGTACTTAAGAATCAACAGGGGTGCTTACTGAAAACAAACATTTCCCATCCCAGTCCCTCAGACACTCTGAATTAGCAGACATGGAGGGAGGCCGCAGAAACTGAATTTTTTTTTTTTTTAGACAGAATCTCGCTCTCGTCGCGCAGGCTGGAGAGTAGTGGCACAATCTCAGCTCTCTGCAACCTCCACCTCCCAGCTTCAAGCAATTCTCCTTCCTCAGCCTCCCGAGTAGCTAGGATTATAGGTGTGTGCCACCATGTCTGGCTAATTTTTGTATTTTAAGTAGAGACAGGGTTTCGCCATGTTGGCCGGGCTGGTCTCAAACTCCTGACCTCAGCTGATCCACCTGCTTCAGCCTCCCAAAGTGCTAGGATTACAGGCTTGAGTCATCATGCCCGGTCAAAACTGAATTTTTAATCAGTACCTCTCTCTTCCAAGCCTTTTTTTTTTTTTTTTTGAGACAAGAGTCTTATTCTGTCGCCCAGGTTGGAGTTCAATGTGGCACAATCTCTCGGCTCACTGCAACCTTCGCCTCCAGGTTCAAGCAACTCTGCTGCCTCAGCCTCTCAAGTAGGTGGGATTACTATGCACCACCACACCAGGCTAATTTTTGTATTTTTAGTAGAGACGGAGTTTCGTCATGTTGGCCAGGCTGGTCTTGAACTCCCGGCCTCAAGTGATCTGCCTGTCTCAGCCTCCCAAAGTGCTGGGATTATAGGTGTGAGCCACTGTGCCCGGCCTTCCAAGCAATTCTGACACAGATGGGTCTTGAATCATGTTTTGAGAAAAAGGACACAACTATGTTCCCTAAGCACTGTTTAGAGTAAAATGAAAAACAGTTTTTTCAAAGACTGAACAGTAGTCACACTGAGCAGGTCCTACACATAAGTCCCCTCACCCACAAGAACCACAAAAAATGTAACAAACTATATTTACTTTGTTGGTTGGACCATTATTTTCTTCAAACCTTCAGAGACAATTATCCTAACTACCATTAAGGATTTCACCTGTCACCCACAGTCTTGCTATACTGAGACATTTTCACACCTGGATGCAATACAAGGGGCTTAATGGAATTTTTATGGCTAAAAATTAAAGTTCACTTGACTCAACAGAATAGTCAAATAAAACAAAGGCGAAAACCTCCCCCAAGGAACAGGTTGAAAGTAGAGGCTTCTGACTTCCTGATGAGCCAATTTTGTCCAGAAATTCAAACCATGGGATGCTATAAAGCTCATATGTCTTGAGAGTGCCCAAATGTCAACTTATCGCCAGAGCATCAGCCAGTGCAGGCTTACTGTAACATTTGGAAGCACAAACCTGCTGTATAAAATGGACTCTCCTGGGAGATGGAGGCTGTCACCATGGCAGAGATCATTCCGTCTTGGGGCCAGAAGGACCAGGCAGTCCCTTTAATCTTTAACGAGCCACTTTCACATTTAGATACAGGAACTGGCACTGCATGAGGCTCAACCTGCTTCACACCACTTTGCTGCAAAACAACCCCCTAGTTGCATGAGGGCATGCTAACCCAGTCTGTCCCCACTGGTACAGTTACCAGAATCTATTCTATAATGCAATTGTGAGTACTTTATTATCCACTATGGTATAATACTTCATAGCTCAGAAAAGGTATCCAATATCAAGAGGCTAGCAACTGCCTACCTCAGGCACAATGAAATACTAGGTTCCCGCATTAGTAATTGAAAAAGTAGCAAGCATGCAGGAAAGAATCCAGAGGGGTCAGGACCCAGCCTGAGGACCCGATGACAAGACTGGGAGAAAGGAAGTCAGCAAGAAGTTAGCAACATGACCAAACTGCTATCTTGGGCAGCTCATTTCAGAAACCCAGCAACAGAAACCTTCGAACCATTTGATAGGTATATAATTTTCTATATAAGGCTATTTCTTAGGTTTTTTTTGTTTTGCTTTTGTTTTTTCCCTTGAGCAGCCAATACAGAAGAAGGGCAGGGAAAAGATCCCTGTCATCAAATTCCATCACCTAAACTCTAATACCTCATAATGTAAGTGACTTAGCAGGCTCATGTCCTATTACTACCTCGCCCCAGTAACCATACTCTCAGAAAAAAGATTCTGTAATTCAACTCTGCAGATTACCTGAATTCAAAATATACCTCTGAATTCGTCTCTTCTCCTAATACACACACTCACATGCTCTGTCTCCCTGACACACATGCCCTGCCTCCAATAAGTCAAACTTCCTAAATGTCTACCCTGGTTTCCACTAATAATGCCCCAAGATTAACTTACCTTTGTTCATGTCCCCAAGTCTAGGGGGCCTTTGTCAACACGTGTTTCATCTTGAAGAGTGATTTCTAGCCGAGTAGATAAGATTACCTGTTCACCTACAGTTAATATTCAACCTGGTTTCTGCAGGCTATAGAAATAAAAGGATACAACTGCACAGCTTGAATGTCCCATCAACGTAATCAAAGTAATGGAAGAAGGAGAGAAAGCAGAAGGAGAGATTTCAAAATAAAGACTGAACTGTGCACTTCAGTAGTACTTAGGAAAACACTCCATCTGACTAAGCAGCTGATGAGTAGACAAATACCCAAAGGACTGTGCATTCTCTGAAGATTATTGTGCTCACAGTTCCCACTTCTCCCAAGGTTCTGCAAGAGATCACATCATAAAATCAGCCTTCCATTATTTATAATAAAGTGCATAGATGCATCCTAACATCCAGTATTCTACTGATTTACTCACAAACAAAGCTAAAACCTTATTTCAACTCAAACCCCTGTAACAAGGAAGAAAACGTATTTTCTTTAGGTCTTTCAAAGGTACCTCTCTCATCCCTTTATTATAACAGAACAGACAAGGGTTGGAGAAAGGAACCCAAAGCTCCATCCCAGGTCCTAAATGCTTAAAAAAACTCACATTAAAAAAATGTCCCATAATACACTACCCATTTGAAAAAAAGCACTGTGAACAGCAGGGGGGAATATATATTTAGATATATATGATAGATACGCACATACACACCGAGAGAGGGAGAGAGACAACACGCACGTGCAAAAGAGCGAGCAAGCATGCACACATATACTTAACAAGTCTAAAACCATTTAATAACAGTTATTCCTAGTAGGAATGGGGGTCTAACTTCTGCTTTATGCTACTTCAGCTGGTTTTGTTTTGTTTTGTTTTTCTGAGACGGTTCTCACTCTGTTGCCCAGGCTGGAGTGCAGTGGTGTGATCACAGCTCACTGCAGCCTTGACCACCCTGGCTCAAGCAATCTCCCACCTCAGCCTCGCGAGTAGCTGAGATCACTGGTGCATGCCACCATGCCTGGCTAATTCTTTCATTATTTGTAGAGATGGGGTCTCAATATCTTTCCCAGACTGATCTCGAACACCTAGGCTCAAGCAAGCCTCCTGTCTCGACCTCCCAAAGTGCTGAGATTATAGGTGTGAGCAGTTTAAGTTAATCGTATTAGAAATAAAGTACCTAAGACCATTTGATAATATAAACCAAAACAATTTGAAAAAGGTTTTAGGGCCTTTGGAAGCCAAATTTTGAGTACATTTAAAGCTACAGTCATAGAGGCAAATGTATAAAAAATTAACAAGAAATTCAGAGTTTTGAAATTGTATTATTTGTCTATGGGCAATACTGTACTAGGAGTGCTATGCTATCTATTGCTGGATAAAAAGAGTTCATCTAGGGCCTTGCTGTCAAGGAAACCATGGCAGGGGTGTTAAAAAGCCAGTCAGCAGACCATTGTGACACTGTATGGAGGCAGATTCATCCAGAGAGCTAAAAATACAACTCAAAAATCATCTATCTTGGTACCAGTACCATGTTGTTTTGGTTACTGTAGCCTTGTAGTATAGTTTGAAGTCAGGTAGCGTGATGCCTCCAGCTTTGTTCTTTTGGCTTAGGATTGTCTTGACAACGCAGGGTCTTTTTTGGGTTCCATATGAACTTTAAGCAGTTTTTTCCAAATTCTGTGAAGAAAGGTTCATTTGGTAGCTTAAGGGGATGGCATTGAATGCTCTTAAATTCCTCTTGGGCAGTTATGGCCAATTTTCACCAATTTGATTCCTCCTATCCATGAGCATGGGTATTGTTTCTCATTTTGTTTGTGTCTCTTTTATTTCACTGAGCAGTGGTTTGTATTTCTTCCTTGACGAGGTCTTTACCCATCTCTTGGTAAGTTGGATTTCTAGGTATTTTATTCTCTTTGAAGCGTATTGTTGAAATGGGAGTTCATTCTTGAATTTGGCTCTCTGTTTGTCCTGGTTACTGGTGTATAGAATTGCTTTGTGATTTTTGCACGTTGATTATGTTCCTGGAAGGCTTACAGTAACCAAATGGCATGGTACTCGGTACCACAGGATAGTAGACCAATTGGAGCAGAACAGGAGGCCCTGGAAATTAATACCACACATCTACAGCCACCTGATTTTGCCACCTGACAACAACAAGAAATGCAGGAAAGATTCCTGTTTAATAATGGTGCTGGGAAAATTGGCTAGCCATAAGTAGAGCTGAAACTTGCTCCTTTCCTTACTCCTTTATATGAAAATTAATTAAGATGGATAGAGCTTATGTTAGACCTAAAACCATAACCCTCAGAAGAAAACTAGGTAATCCATTCAGGAAATTATGCATGGGCAAGGACTTCATGTCTTAAAACACCAAAAGCAATTGGCAACAAAGCGCAAAACTGACAAATGGGGATCTAATTTAAACTTTAAGAGCCTTCTGCACAGCAAGAAACTACCCTCGGAGGTGAACAGGCACCTACAAATGGGGAAAATTTTTGCAATTACTCATGCTGGACAAAGGCTAATATCCAAGAACCTATTTAAAGAATCAATTCAAATTACAAGAAAAAAACAACAACCCATCAAAAAAAGTGGGCTAAAGGGATATGAACATTCTCAAGAAGCATTCATTACAGCCAACAGAACTTGAAACAAATGCTCTCATCACTCACATCAGGAGAAATGCAATATCAAACCACAATGAGATACCGTCTCACACCAGGTTTAGGAATGGCAATCATAAAAAATCAGGAAACAGGTGCTGGAGCGATGTTGCGAAATAGGGACACTTCTACGCTGTGGGTGGGACTGTAAACTAGTTTCAACCATTGTAGAAACAGTGTGGTGATTCCTCAAGGATCTGAACTAAGAAATACCATTTGACCCAGCATCCATTACTGGTATAACCCAAAGGGTTATAATCATGCTGCTATAAAGGACACTCACCAATATGTTTGATTGCAGCACTATTTCAGCAATAGCAACGACTTTGGAATCAACCCAAATGTTCATCAGTGACAGAATGGATTAAGAAAATGCAGGCACATACACCACCATGGATCTATGCAGCCATAAAAAGGATGAGGTTTGTTCCTTTGGTAGGGGCATGGGATGCAGCTGGGAAACCTCATTCTCAGGCAAACTATCGACTTACAGACGAAAACAAATCCACAATGTTCTCACTCATAGGTGGAACTGACCACATGGGTCACTTGGACCACAGGAGGGAGATCACAACCGGGGTTCCTTATTTTGTGGGAGGGGTGAGAAAGGATAGATTAGGGTATCCTAATGTAAATGATGAGTTAATGGGTGCAGCACACCAACATGGCACACGTATACATATGTAACAAACCTGCATGTTGTACACATGTACCCTAGAACTTAAAGTATAATAATTTAAATAAATAAATAAATAAAAACCTCCTATCTTTGTCAGTCAAATCAGTTTTACTAAGTAATCTGATGAACTTAAAAACCAGATATAACACCTATTAGAATGGCTAAAATTAAAAATGGTGGCCGGGCACAGTGGCCACAGCCTGATCGCAGCACTCTGGGAGGCCACAGCAGGTGAAGTATGCCTGAGGCCAGGAGTTGAGACCAGCCCTGGCCAACAGGTGAAACCCAGTCCTCTACTAAAAATACGAAAAAAATTAGCCAGGGTATGGGTGCGCACTGCTGCCTGTAGTCCCCCAGCCTAACTCCGGAGGGTGAGGCCAGGAGAATGCTTGAACCTGGGAGGCATGAGGCTGCAAATGAGCCAGATTATGCCCGGCACTCCAGCCTGGGCATAGAGCATAGACCTCCATCTCAAAAAAAAAAAAAAAAGAAATTTTAAAAATGATGAACCCCCGTCATATCAATGCTGGGGTGAGGATGCCATAAGGCTGGTTTCATAATACCTGCCTGGGTGGTGAGACCTGTAAAATGGTAACAAGCAACCTGAAAAAAAGATTTTAGCACATTTTGGCCTGGTGGATGGCTCACACCTGCATCCCAGCACTTTGGAGGCTATCATGGGCAGATCACTTGAGGTCAGGAGTTCAAGACCAGCCTGCCAACATGGTGAAACTCCATCTCTACTAAAAAATAAATTTGGTTGTAGTGGTGGTACACACCTGTAGTCCCAGCTACTTGGGAGGCCAAGGCAGGAGAATTGCTTGAACCCAGGAGGCAGAGGTTGCAGTGAGCTGGAATCACACCACCTGCACTCCAGCCTGGGTAAAGGCAGTCAGTGAGACCTCTGTCTCAAAAAAAAAAAAATAGTTTAGCAATTTCTTTGGAAAACTGAACATACACTTACCTTAAGAACAGAACAGCATTTCATTCCTGGATCTTACGCCCAAAGAATTAAAACTTGGGTCCATACACAACCCTGGATACACAAGTGTTCAGTTATGGCTTTCATTTGTACAGCCCCAAACTGCTAACAACTAAAATGCCCTTCAGGTGAATAGTTAAACAGCCTGTGGTACATACACACCATGGAATACTACTCAGCGATAAAAGGAACAAACTATTGCTGCCACACAATAACTTGGATGGAGGGTGTGACACTAAGTGAAAAATGCTGGGTTCAAGATCAGCCTGGGAAACACAGTGAGACCCATCTCTACAAAAAATACATTCGAGGCTGGGCACAGTGGCTCACACCTGTAATACCAGCATTTTGGGAGGCCGAGGCGGACAAATCACTTGAGCTCAGGAGTTCAAGATCAGCCTGGGCAACATGGTGAAACTGTCTCTACAAAAAATAACAAAAATTAGGTGGGTGTGGTGGCGTGCACCTGTAGTCCCAGCTACTTAGGAGACTGAAGTGGGAGGATGGCTTGAGCTAGGGAAGCAGAGGTTGCAGTAAGCTGAGATCACGCCACTGCACTCCAGCCTGGGCGGCAGAGTCAGACACTGTCTCGAAAAAATAAATAAAAATAAATAAATAAATAAATAAAAAACAAGTTCCAATTGTTATATGCGTATAAAAGTAAAAAACAAAAAACCCAGTCTTAAAAGGTCACATACTGGGTCACATATTGTTATGATTCCATTTCCATATTTCTAAAATGACAAAATTATAGAGATACCAAACAGATTACTGTCTGCCAGAGATTAGAACAGTAGGGAAAAAGGATATGTGTGATAATAAAGGAGTAGCACAAGGGGGATCTTTGTGGTGGTTGAAGAGTTACACAAATTCATACATGTTAAAATGGGACACAAAACCACACACACACACACAAGCGCACACACACAGAGCACTGTGTCAGTTTCCTGGTTTTGATATTGTACTATGGTTAAATGAGGCATAACCACTGGGAGAAAAACGGGTGAAGGGTACATGGGAACTGTGTAGTGTATTTGCAACTTCCTGTGAATCTTTAATTACCTAAAAATAAAGTATTAAAAAAAAGTGGCCGGGCGTGGAGGCTCACGCCTGTAATCCCAGCACTTTGGGAGGCCGAAGCGGGTGGATAGCTTTAGCCCAGGAGTTTGAGATCAGCCTGGGCAAAATGGTGAAAACCCTCCTCTTCAAAAAAAAAAAAAAAAAAAAAAAATTAGCCAGGCGTGGTAGCGTGCATCTGTAATCCCAGCTACTCAGGAGGCTGAGGCAGGAGAATCGCTTGAACCCGGGAGGCAGAAGTTGCAGTGAGCCGAGATCGTGCCATTTCACTCCAGCTTGAGCAACAAGAGTGAAACTCCATCTCAAAAAAAAAAAAGTGCAATTATTCAGTCAACTGTCCAGCCCCTATGGGGAACTAAAAAAGGTAAAAAGTTTATAAAGTATAGCATGTTTCGTACTCTTTTGCAGTCTCTGCTATGCAGGAGAGATGATTATTTAAGCATAGATTGGTTGTTGGCCCAACTACCTGAAATATATTTAGGCACTACCTGTGCCCCATTCATCACAATATTTTTATCAAGCCTCAC